TTTAATAAGTTTATAGGTTTTAGCCCCTCAACTTATATTATGACATTTTTAACCCCTCACTTATACAAATTGAAGAAAAATAGCTCTTACTTAACTTCAAGTTATAGGGTTCGTTAGTTGACTGTTAACAATGACAAAAACAGAGCTAATAGAATATTAACAATTAATTGACGAATGTTATAAACTAATATTAAGTAAAGGCTATTTTCTTCAATTCATAAAAGTGAAAGGCTATTTTCTTCAATTCATAAAAGTGAAAGGTTATTTTCTTGAATTCATAAAGGTGAGAGGTTAAAAATGTCATAATACAAAATAAAAGGCTAAAACCTACAAACTTATCGAGGTAAAGGGTTGAAAGTAAGTTTTTACCGAATAGAATAGGGTAGCACTTCAAGGCGGTGGAGCTGAAGCCAAAGATTCTACCTTGTCAAAGCGGATGCAGTGACTCTACTTGCACATATGAACTTTTTATGAGAAGGACTTGGGTGTGGCAGAGGCTACCTTAATTAATAGCACTTGAGACATTATTAGCAGATGAAGAGCATGTTTGGTTTAGCTTCCAAATGCTTCAACTTTTTGACACTATTCATGTTTCATAAATTTAAATTTCCCTCTTAAATACTTACATTTTTAAATTTTTTTTAACCTTAAAAAGACTTTAAACAGTAAAAACTCAAAAATTTCAAATCCAAACTTTTCATAAACTCCATTTTTACTCACTTTTTCCTATATCTAAAAGTAACTTTTAAATTTTCCCTCCAATAAAAATTTAAATTTATCACTCATGAACAGTACAAAAAAAGTAAAAGCTCTTACAAGCTAACCCAAACATGCTCAAAAATACTTCATCCCATGCAATTGCTACAATGGTAAACAACCAAGGTCTAGACTACTAGAAAACAGAGTATAATCGACAGAAAAAGTTGTCGATTATAACTATAATCAATAGACATAATCGACAACCATATTTGTCAGATAAATTGAAGACAGAATTGAGTATAATTGACAGAAATTAATGTTGTCAATTACATTCATTTAATCGACAGAAATATTGTCGATAATGACTTGTACGAACTCACTTGGCAAAAAAACATAGCAGTATAATCGATAGCCTTATATTGTTGATTATTCTTATAATCAACAACTAAGGGCTATTGATAATGAAGATTATTGATAGCAATATAGGCTATCAATTATGATTTGATTTTTCAAATAACATAATCAACAGCCATATAGGCTGTCGATTATAAGCATCATCAATAATATAAGGTTGTCAATGATATTCTTTTTTTTTTTTTTGGAAAAATATGATCGACAACCAAATGCTGTTGATTATATATATAATCGATTGCCATAAGTTGTCTAATGGTTGTTGATTATAAGCATTGTAGCTCCAAAAAAAAAAAAAAACCTACAGAATCCAGCAGCATACTCATTTTTATTTTTATTTTTTATTAATCATATTACAAGAAATCATCTAACAAAATTCAACACAAATTCCAGATCCATAAACAGTATAACTATATGAAACCATGTTATAACGAATATAAAACTAACATTGCAAGAAATAATAAATGAATATAAATAAAAATTAAAATAAGAACTTACCTTATTTTGAGATAACAATTCTACAAAAAAAAGAGAAAAGAAAAAGAATCTACATGTAATATCACAGATTTTCTGAAATTCTAGTATTTAAGTTGAGGACCTTTGTGTGAGAAAATATTATTTTGGGGCTTATTAGCTAAAATTTCCAAACTTGAGGGACTTAAAAGAGGAAAATTTTGGATAAGGATCGGCTGGCATTTTTTTTTCTTCGTTCTTCTTCCTCACCCGCGCACCTGCTCTTCTTTTTCCTTCCCTGCACCGAACAAAAAGAACCCAGCCAAGCGACAGCCCCACTTGGAAAACTGGTAAGAGAGCTTGATTTTTCCCTTCTTTTCTTGTTCAAGAACAAGATTTAAGCGTGGAAATCCCCCCCTGCAGAGAATTTCCGGATCTGCTTTGCTCTGTTCCTCACCGCCGGCTGCTCCTGCTTTGTGGGGCCGAACTGCTCTGATTTTTGGGTAAGGAACAGCCACCAATTTCTCTGTTCTTCCTTGAATTGGCTTGGGTTTACCTTAATTTCTCTTGGTTTCTCCAATTTTTGGGATAGATCCTAAATTTCTCCCCAAATTGCCGCCGGCCTTCCCCCAAACCCGCCAACTCCAGCCTTGCTTGCTGGAATTCTGGTAAGTGGCAGGTGCATTTAAGTCCCAAATTACCCATTAGTTGCTGGAAATTTGTCTGTTAAATTGCTGCCCTATGTTGTCCGAAAATCTGTTGAAAAATGGGGATGAATTTGACAGTATTTAGACCATGATTTAGCTTAATTCATGTAGAAAATTAGTTAATTAGTTCCTGTGAGATTTTGAAGAAAAATCCCGTGAGATTAGCTATGGTTTTGCCAATTTATGGAAGTGCAGTTACTGTTCAGGGCGTGATCACTATTCATCGATACTGTTTACGCACTAATGGCCAACAATAGGAGGGTTTAAATGTTTAGTTATACTGAGAATAAAATTGAGATATAATGTTTTGAATAAAAGTGAGTTATATTATGGTCGAATTTCATGTGAAGCTCATTGGTTAGGAAATTTGCAAGGTTGTGCTAATAATTCTAGTAAAGTCTGAATGTATTTATTTAGAATATTAGGTGCTGTTATGGCTTAGAGCACTGGGATTGAGTCCTCGATTTTATGCGAGTGAGGTAAATAAATTATAGTAACACCCTTCGATTTTGAAAGTATATTTTAACTTGTTTTTGGAGTGGTGGCGGGACTAAACCTGTTTTATACAAAAATAAGCATGATTGATTTGAAATAAGATTATTATTCTTTTTATTGAATTGAGCATGCTTACTTGAAATTTAATTGATTGTCCTGATGATTTGAAAGTGATTAGTGAATTATGATTTTCTTGTTAACTTCTGTCTGTTTTGTCTCCGATATGGTCATGTTATTCGTGTGCCCGTTAGTGGGAGGTTTATAAACGCTAGCAAATGTCGACATGTTATTGATAGAACCGGTTCGTTTGAGTGACCCTGCTAGTGGGGATTATACACTAGCAAATAGTGTAGCCTGCGAGTGGGAGGTTTATAACACTGGTCATGACCTATAGAGGAGACATCTATTTCGTTCCCGTACTATATCCATTTTTCGTGATTACACTTGTTGGCATGCTATAAGTTTAATAAGGGGCACTTCATATTTTACTTACTGAGTTTATCTCATAGTTTTTCCTTGTCCATCATTTCAGAAAATGAAGTCAAAGACGGGGAAAAACAAGGGGAGTGACGAGTTAGAAGGCTAGCCATTTTGTAAATTGAATATGGATTTTAGATATAGATCATGATCTTATAAGCCAAATTTTAATTGGAGATTTTATAAATTCATTTAATGGATTGTTAGTTTACAAGAGATTTGACCTTGAGATTTTGAGCTTAAGTCATGTTGGACATAGAATTATTTTGAAATATTTGATTTAAGTTATTGGATTGTTAGATGTGAATTGGATAAGTTTCGATCCTTGTACATTTGTGAGACTTTCTCACAAGTGTACGGCGTCTGCCACGTCCCCGGGTTCGGGTTCTGGGGCGTGACACTACATTAAAACACATTATGATGTTATTGAAATAAAAGAAAATGAAGAGTTTAAATCAAATTTTAAATAAAAATTTACTTCATAATGAATGAAATACAACTTGCGAAAATAAAAAATGAAAAACAAACTAGCTATTAATATATCAAATAATAGAAATTCTTAGTTGAGAAGATAAAAGATGAAAGGAAAAAAAGGAAAAGGAGAAGAAGTTGAAAGTAAAAGGGAAAAGGAGAAGAGGTTGAAAAAAAATAATGCCTTACCTATGGGACAGAAAGAGGTGAAGATAGGTAGAAGAAATTGGAAAAAAGATAATTGGAAATTCAAGAAAATTGGATTTTTAGAGGCAGGAAGTGGTTATATAACCAATATATGCGATAGAAATTCTGTCGTTTATGTTTTGAATTCCAAATGCTCGGGATTTTCAACTTTTTGGTGGCGAGCTTGATCATAATCGACAGCTTTATTTTCTGTTGGTTATAACTATAACCAACAATAAATAAGGCTATCGATTACATAATAATTTGTACCCATAATGATTTTCCCAAAATTGGTATGCCATGTTGTTTTTATTAAAACTATTATATTATTCCTCTATAAAGTGTTCTGCTATTTTTCACCTATATGAATTTTTTTATTTAAAATTTTATTACTATTTTTATGCAATATTATATCTCTATAAAGTACTATGCTATTTTTTACTTATATGCTTTTTTTAATTTAAAATTTTATTATTATTTTTATGCAATATTTTTTCTCTATAAAGTTTTATGCTATTTTTTACTTATATGCTTTTTTTTTAATTAAAAATTTTATTACTATTTTTAAGTAATATTATATATTTCTTAACATATATTCTAACAGTATACAACTAAAAGTAATTCAAATTACTACATATTTACACAAAATATCTAATGTATTAGGCATATATAAACATATATATCGTAAGTTCAAAATATCAATATCCCTAAAAAGGAGGTGTTCGGACCCTCCAAAAGAAGGGCCCCAATCTGAGGTGGTGCAAAACCTACAGATGAGTACTGCTGGCTAAGTAAGTGCATATACTCTTGAAATCTCCTCTCAAAAGCAGCCTCCATCTCTGATACTTTCTATGAGACCTCTTCCTGAATACGTGTAGTCACCTCTGTTTGAACTCACTTTGTCATTTCTTCCTAAACTTGTGTAAGCTCAAATTGTAACTGCTGGACCTACATCGTAAGTATCTTAGTGGTAGAGGATGAGGCCTCACTAATCTCATATCTTCGCCATAGTATGCCATGCTCTGCTAGATCTTATAGTGTGGACATCCCTTGCATTTGACCCTTTTTAGGGGGTCCAACTACCTCCTTTCAGATTCATGGATCCCATGCTAGCCATAAATCCTTGTTTGGTCCATGCTTTTCCACATACCTTTCATGAGCATCATTTTGATCCAAAAAGAAATTTTCATTAGTTACTATAATTAAAATTCCATTAAAATTAAAAATAATAAATAATTAATATCATAAAAAAATTTGATACTTACATAAGTGCTTGTGGACAAATCCAAGCGGGTGGGGCACCTTTTTCAGTATCAGGTCTACGAGTAATGTGAGTCAACATGTATGATTTCAAAGCTGTAGGCTTGACTCCTCCCTTCTTTGCCACCTATTAAAACATTAATAAAATTAAATTTTAGAATATATTTGGATGAAGATTAGTAAAGGAAAGGTAAGGAATGTAAATAAAATATTAAGAAATAAATTTAACCATTTGCTTTGTGTTTTTTTTTTTAATTTAGTTGCATTATTGAGAAAGAAAAAGTGTTATTGTTTAATATTGAATTTTAAATTTCAAGTGTCTTTTAATATTGACTTTTAACATTCAAAGTATCTTTTAATATTGAATTTTAACTTTCAAGTATCTTTCACGGTCATCATGCAAATATTTTTTCTTGTTACGTATCATTTTTTTTCTATTTTAGTGTTAAAAGTTGGTTTAAAATATTTCTTTTTAAAGGGTTAGAAATGACTATCATGCTTTTCTATTGATCTCCTTTAATTATATATTAAAAGTGGTACTTAATTAACATCATATGCCAAAAATAAATGGTAACTTTCAACAATATATATAACTATACTCTACTAACCAGTCGATCCTCATGGATCACAACCGCTATGTATTCAGTTGTGTGGGTCACACGTGCACCCTTTGCCCGGTTATGTCGACCTCTATCTTGTAGCGCAATATATTTTAGACTCTTCCATTTTGTTAGTAAAATCTTGAAGGTATCCTTATGCATGAACTCAAGTAATTTCTTGGAAGTCTCCCATGCCTTTCTAACTAGATGAATCTCATCCCAGAAACAATTCCGGCAATATAATCTCCAAATCCTATGAACACAACATCGTCCTCATCCCAATAATATGTTCTCAGCATGCAAATATTAAAATTAATTAAATTAATCAAAAACACATTTGCTTAAAACAAAAACCTAGTAGAATTCCCCTTAAAATATCAACTTCCTTTGTTAGCAAAAGAACAAAAAATATATAAAAAATTCAACACTTCCATACCATAATCACTTGCATCAAATTCCGACCATTAAACTCACAATTAATAAAATTTATAATAATTCAAACCAATCCATATCAAAATTAATTATGATTATATTTTATTTTATAGAAAAACTGATAGAGTTTCCCCTAAAATATCAACTTTCCCTTGGTAATAAAAGAAAAAATATATATAACCTTATGCAACACTTCCACATTGTGATCACCTGCACCAAATTCCAATAATTAAACTCACAATAAATAAAATCTATAATAATTCAAAC